TTTTTGGAATTCAAAAGCAAATTTCTTTACAACCAATTAATGAATTAGAATTAGAAAATAACTCTGAGTCTGAATTTATAGTTACCAAATTAAAATCAAAAGGTAAAAAGCGAGTTAGTAGTGAAATTGAATCAAGTAATAGCGAATATATTGGAAATAATTCTGATGATTCATTAAACCAAAATATACAATATTTGGATTCAGAAATTTGGGAAAATTTATTTTATACAAATATTGATATTAATAGTGAATTAATAGATAGTAAAAAAAGCGACAATAATAGTGAATTCACATATAGTAAAGAAAGTATTATTATAATAATAAACTGGCAAATAGTAAAGCAAATGTTGATGACTCTAGTGAATCTATAATTAATGAATTAATAAGTGGTGAAGAAAGTAATTATGATAATAATGAACTAGCAAATTGTAAAGTGAATTATAATGATTCTAGTGAATCTATAAATAACAAATTAGTAAATAGCAAAGAAAGTGATTATGTTTCCAATACCAAAAGTTTATCAAGCCTTAATGCTGACAAAACAACAATTAAATAGTTATTCGAAAAGGTGTTTATAAATGATGGATTAACATGTAATTTTCTAGAAAAGGCTTATTACTCTGCTCAAATATTTTCATTGCTATGTTTTAATTGCAGTGATACTGATATTGTTACTTTAATTCCAGCTACTCAATGTACACAAAAAGGTGTTAAAACACCAACTCGTAAAAAGTTCTTAAAATTTATAGCACATATTCACAAAAACAAAAAAAAGTTAGTACAAAAACAAAATTTTAAATTAAATTCTAATTATATTAAATAAATATATTAATTAATTATATTGTTTTATAGACGGCTTGATAATAATTAAAAATAGGCTATTTATAATAAATTAACTTCTTTTATAATTAAATACATTAAATATTCATTTATATTATAATAGTTACTAATTAAATATCATATTATTAAGTTAGGTTATATATATTTTATATTTGTATTAGACAAATGTTGATTTTTTTAAACCGAAATTATAGCAGATCAGTATGGTATAGGTGAATATATCAGTATAGTATAGGCCAATTTATAAAATTATACTATATGGATCTGTAAAATTATAGAAACTAACGCTCATATATAATACTAGGTTCGTATAGTATAGATTTAAAAATCGCCTATACTATACTGTTCTGCAAAATACTTTCTGGAGAATTAAGATTATTTGAGTAAAATTGGCAGATTTTAATAATAAGAGCTATAAGGATAATAATGGGTTTATTGATGATATTTGGGATATAGATAATTCTGGGAATGTAAATAAAGCATTTTTTCAATTATAAATAAAGACATCTTCAGCCCTTTGGAATAATAACTCCTGCCTTTGCTTTTATTAAAATCACTTAATTATATAATTACTTGCATATTACTTATGATAAATCACCCAATCACTATTCGTAAATCTCTTAATTATATCTAATAAATCATACACTACTAAGTCTTGTATATCAAACTTAACGTTTGATAAACACTCTCATTATTCCAATACTAAGACTATAAAAAACCTAAGCTCTGTCCCAAAACTATTCTACTTGATCAAATATAACATGCCTTTTTCGACCTAACATAATCTAAACTTTGATTACATATTCTATCCCATATTTTATTCAAGCGACAGACTTGCCATTTTTGGGTCTGATACTGTAACTAAAATCAGGTATAAGATAACTATTAAAACAATTAAAATAACACTTTTTTTTGTTAGTTAGAATTAAGGTGAGTTAAAGATAATATACAGGTGAACAGAAAAGTTTTATAGTAAAGCTTTGCAAGGAATTTTTTTTATTAGAATTCAAAGAGTAGTTCATAAACTCAATTTTGAGTTGTAACCAATTTTTGACAAAGTGAATATTTGTTTCGAAAAGGGTCACACACATGTGATATGTGTATTTATTAGATTCACAACTGCCAATAAGGCTGGTCATTAACTTTATTATAAATGCTTTATTGATATGAGCAGCATACATCAGTGTTATTGATATATAATTATTAGCGATGTGAAGCATCAGCCAGTGGTTTCTTCATGAAAGTTGACTTTATCACCATCTATTGCCTTTTCCATTTTTTTTTTGTATATACTTCATACCATTTGTTTATTTTGTATTATTTTTTTCTTTCTTTTTTTATATTTGTTTATTTATTTACATCATTATTGCTGTTTCATATTGGTTCTTGATAATATAATTTCACATACTTCGTGTATTCGAATACCAATTAGCTTCAAATGTTTGATTGAAATTGGTTATTCATAATACAGCTTGTTTAAAATAGCAGCTACAGTTGCTAGATATGCCTGTATGTATTTGTAAAATGCTATTTACCAATCCTTTGGAAGTGTCAGTTGCATATCTCATAGTACTAATTCTGTTGCTCCCTTGCATGTAAGCTGTGTTCTGCTATATCTTTGTTGGGTAGAAGTAACTTGAGGTTGTTTATAAACCAGCTTGTTGTTACTAAGCTTCCATTTGCTCTGATAAATAGCATGTTTTTTTTGGTTGCATATCTTGGGTTGCTTCTTTGAATTATATATGAACTTGAGTGCCCTGTTTAGATATATGTCATCTTTAGTTAAGTTTATTATTAAAATTGGACATTCGGTTACCTTATGAGATTTTGTTCTTGCTAGTTGTATTGTTGCAAATATTTTATTTCCTGCTTTATCAAATCTTAAAGCTTGTATTGTAGGTAGTTTCTTTGCATCTTGTTGTGAACTAGGTAAAAGTTTACTTAGCCATACTAACCTGTAAAATACTACTAAGCAGTCATCCAGAATAGTAGATTATCTGGGTTATTCAAATCTAGCCTATTTTTTATATTGTACAAATATTCTATTTTATGTGCTTTTTTTGTTGAGTTGGTTTAAAAATATGGTTGTCTTCAATTGTCCTTAAAAGCTGCTTTATTAACAGATTATATCTGCTGTTGTTCCAGTTTATGTAGTTCATATTATAGTAGTACTTCAATGCAGATAAATATAATGTAATGGTCTGTGGTGTAACTTTATGATACAAGTATATGATAAATCTTGCTAAACTTTCTTTTAATACTGGCCATATTGACCTATTATTGTTCACTCATTAATTAGTTCTAGCCAGTTTTGTTAGTATTCTATTATGGATTTGTATATTTTATATGGTGGTAGGTTTGTTTCTAGAATTATGGCTACTTGCTCATCCAATAGCTATACTGGCCAAGTTTGTAGTTTTGTTATTGCCTTTGTTACTTTGCTTATACCTATTGGTTAAGGGATAGAATAATTAATATCAGATTAACATATTCATTTAGAATGATTGGCTGTAAGTATTGTGCCCATGGGTTTTATGCCATGTATCCTTATGTCCATTCTATGATAGCAGGTCTGCTTCTAAGTTATTTTGCCTGTGATGCTCATGAAAGTATACAACTAACCATTTTAGTAAAATATTAAACCATTATTGTATATCTGCTCTCATTGAATTAGTTATTTTTATACAAAATTTTGATTTCATAGGCCACTTAGTGCCCTAATAAACTGCTGCACAAATAGTCTGCCTTGAGGAGTAACCTAACATATCCACATTAATGATCCAACTAATGCCTGCATTTGCTTTTTGTAGCACCATTTTTTATCCTTCCATTCAGCTAACAAGTTTAGTGTTTTTTTTTTGATTCTTGTATAGATTTTGAAAAAGTAATCATTTCAATGCATATATCTAAAAATGTTAGTGTTGTGGCTGGTCCTTCAAGCTTAGATGGTTTGTATGGAACATTCATAATTCTAATATCCACAAAAATTGCTATAACTCTTGTGCTGTATTTGATTCTGAGATAATTAAAAAATCATCAATGTAGTATATAATTGACTTAATTCCTTGTTGAGTAGCAATCCATGTTATTACATCTGCAAAGTAACAAAATATACCACCTGATACCCTATTACCGAAAGTTAATACTTTATCAAAGTAAAATTTATCCTTATACTGAAGTTCCGGTAATAGCTGATCTACTGAATGTACTGGCAAAATTCTATATACATTTTTGATATTGATTTTTAATAGCATACAGCTATGACCATACTGTTTGGATATTACTTGCCATGTTGTTGTGTTGGGCATTTGTGTTGGCTCTCATTATCATTTCATTAATTACTGAGAATGGGGGAAATTACCTTGTAGTATTTCTGGTTCCTTTTCAGCATTTTTTTGGCCGCTATGCTAATTACTCTGTTGGTTCATATTATGAAATTCATCTTCTCTATTTGACTGAAATCACCTGACTGCTGTGTGGTAATATGATTATCTGACCACTTGTTGTGGTTGTCTCACTTTGTAGATTAGCTTGCTCTAGCTGTGAGAATTTCTAATTGATTGCTTTGAACAATTGGGTATTTGTTTCTCTTTGCACATCGAGTTGCTGATCTATCTATTGCTGCATTGTTCTCATCATTGATGTTGTTGTTGTTTGGATTATCATGCTGGTAAATGCTCTAGTTTGTGAATCTATGCTTAATTCTGTGATTTGATTATTTTGTTCTTGGCTGCTGGATGTTGCCACTGGTTTTGTTAATTCTTCTAATACCAAACCTCTATTACTACTAGAAATTGTGTTTCATATGTTTCTTTTGCTCATTCTGCGAAATCTGGGGCATGTTCTCAGATGCAGGTGAGGCTTCTGCTCTCAGTTCCGATTCTTTTATTCTGATTACGCTTACCTAATCATGTCTTGGATTCCGAAACCTGTGTTATAATGAATCATACTCACCACAGTGCAATTCTTTGTTAGCATTGTTGTAGCAGGCAGGTTTCGAAAATTCTTCTTGCTGATCAGTTGTTGCGATCCAGTTTCCCACCCAGTCAGTGCTCCTGCGGTCACATTAACATAGTATTAACATGTGAAAGCACAAGTAGATCACTGCTTACGTCACCCTTTCGATCTGTTGACTTTTTGTCAAATTTGCTTGTGTTACATTACACCTGAACTTAAAATTTGATTGGCTTTTATGGGATGTGGTTACATAGCTACGGCTACAAATTTATTAACTCATAAAAATATACGGTGCAAAAGAAAAAAATAATAATAAGATAAAAAATAATAGTAATCATTATCATGAAATTTTCAAAAGCAGAATTATATGAAAGTTTTTGTCATTTCTTCTACCTTGTTTGTACTAGTGTTGTAAGCTGACTAGGACAGCCGCGGCTAAGCCGGCTTAGCCGACTAAGCTAGCCGAAATAATATGGTCATCTGGCTAATGCGGCTAAGGGTCACGTGATTCATGAATAGTAAAATTACGTTAAATTCCGAAAAGGAAAATGAATAAGCATAATATACTTTGAGAAAATTTCCAAAGTATTCTGAAAAATAGATGTTTTAGTCAACTGGCTTAGCCAACTGACTAAAGTCATGTGGCTTACAACACTAATTTGTACTCAGTAGCAAAGCCGATTTTTTTAATATCTTGAAAAAAATCAACAACAAACTAATTAGTATTCCTTAACATTTAGTATGTTATTATCTAGATCTAGTTGTTTATCGTGCCTTGCGAATGGTTGCATGACACAATTAAAAGAATTTGCTAATATATCAACGTGAAAATAATGTATGCAAAGCCTGTTATGTATTAGTATTCTGCACGGACCTCGGTCCAGGTTTTGTGCCACTCGAAACCGTCTATCATCAAAACCTGACACTGATCCAGAACCCGACTATGAAATAATAAATTTCACTAATAGATGCAAGTAAACGAATTTAACCTTCATTAAATGAAATCTTTGACTATTAATATATGTTACTGATATTTGACAATCTAATCATATCCTGCCTCAACATTCTATATAAATTTCAGCTTTTGTTAAGTTTAATAACGATCAATCAAGGATTTCCTAATTTTTAGAACTAGCATTTGATAAGAACTAGATTTCAAGAAATCATATAAATCTATGTACGATGTTATATGCCAGAAATTTTATAATTGAAGATCTGAAAACAATGTATGTATGTATTGTATGTACCTCTTATTAATTTTTACGTATTATCTGTACTAATTTATTAATAAAAAGTCTTTTATTGATTTAGCCAATAGGATATCGATATACAGAAATATGTGGAATAATCTTAATTGTGCTAATTTACTTAATTGATAAATTACTTCCTAAGTTACTTATTAAAATTGATAAATTACTTCTTAAGTTACTTATTAAAATTGATATAATTGTATGTTTTAAATTTTAGTCTTATATAAACATAAATGTAGGAGCCAGTGGCGCCATTACTTACACTTGCTTCTGTTTCTCATCAGTTTCGTCACCTTTAGCCAGTTTCGTCACCTTTCGCCAGTTTCGTCCCTTTCATCACTTCGTCATTTGAGATTTTAGTTGACGAAAGATGAAACTAGGTTTCGCATTTCGTCAGCGCAAAACCTCAAGGTTTCGTCTAACAACTATAGTCATACTATTCTATCATCATTTTATGTACTTCTTAATTTGGTATAGTTTGTGGCATAGTTGGGTGATTGAAACCCTCAACGAGGGATTAAAACCCCATACGAATTAAAGATATATAAAGATGTGGTTTCAGATTATGAGAAGGAGGACAATGATGAATGATTGTTAACAGTTATTAATAGTATTTAGTATTATTGTAATTAAGGATTGGAATCGGGTTAGTCGACTAAAAAAAATTTATAGTAAGCTACTATGTTTAGTCGACTAATTAGTCGACTAAATATAATAGTCGACTAAACCGATTCCAATCCCTAATTGTAATGTTCCGATGTATTGATTTATGTTAATAAAGAGAAACATTAACCTGTAATTATGTGTGTTAGTTTATCAATTTAAACCCACCGGTCGTAACAACGTACATAATTGCAACGTGCTAAGCGTCAAATCAAAATTTAAATTTTGGATTTTATTAGGGTTAGGGTAAATCCTATGTTGGGTAGGAGTAGGTATTAGCGGCATTGTAACTATTTTGATCTGACATATATTTTAATTTAACGTACAACTTATACATTAATATAAATGTTTAAAAATTCCTTATATTGCACAGTAAAATTTATCATTATCGAATTTTCGAATAAAGAAATTACGTAATCAAGCGCCAATATATATTTCGAAAAGCACTACACTCGATTTTATATTTGTTTGGATGCACACTAGCCCAAATAGAGCTGGACATTAATGTTAAACTTTATTAGATTGCTTAAAATAGATGCGTATGCATCGGTGCAATTAATGTATGAATTAGCTAGTGATTTGTAGCGTCAGCCAGTGGTTTCCCACCCGCATAAAGCGGGCCGGCTGTCGACGTGAGTTATTGTGATAGACTTAGCAATGCATAACATTGGCCGGTAGTTTCCCACCTGCATAATGCTGGCCGGCCGTAATTACAAAAAAGGGAGGGCAGGGAGGGTGCGAATACGGCAAGCTCCCAGGGGAGGTTGCAGTTGGGCTGCCAGCCAGTCTGAGTTTATATCAGCGTGCGTTCTTGATCTGCCCTAACGAATTTAGGTTATATTAGTATCCGCGCCATAATCCTAAATCGGTAATTCATTGAATTCATACTCATTATCATCTTTCCACTTGCATGTACCGGTTTCCCTGTTACTATCTGGATTTTTCATGTGATTGTCAATGCGGGATGCATCAGTGCTTAGATTGCCTTTTCAATTTGTTGACTTAACGTTAATGTCAACTCGAAAGCAACCTACAAAAGATTTTCAGGTCACATTCCAGATATATACCAGATACTTATAAATATTACGTACGTTTATACTGCATATTCAGATACTTCTTACCTACCATGAAAGAAATACCGAACGAGTGTATTTACGCAATTATTATTAATCTCGCAAACGATGCTGTAAGTTTATTCTCATGTTGTCTTGTTAATCGTCTTTGGTGTCTAAACACAATACCAATACTATGGAGTAATCCATTACAAAGAAACGTTTCCAAATCACTTGTACGAACATACCTTTCAACATTATCTCCTGAAGAAAAGAAACCACTTATCTCATTTGGTATAATACTTCCCAACTTTTCAAAACCATTGTTTGAATACGGAACTTTCTTAAAGGTTCTTGATACTAGTTCATCCAAAAATGGAGTAGAGATGTGGCTTAAATGCGAAGGTTTTATTGAACGTTGTAATGATAAAAAAATGTTGACATTATCATATAATATTATTATGAAGTCTTTGATTACAATGTTTCTTCAAAGAAGTGAAAATCTTGAAGAATTATTAATCAATGATCATTTTATGTTTCCGAATGTATCGACAATCTTGAACGGAATATCACAATTAAAAACATTACGGATTAAGTTAGATCTTACTAACACGGACATATTGGATTTTATGAATGCATTAACGCCTAAAGCATGTCCCTATCTTAAACAACTTGAAATTAAATCTTATTTACCTAATTATGAAATTTATGAATTTGATGCACTCGTAAATATTATAGAATCTCACAAAAAAATTGAAAAAATAGAACTTGATGGTTATATTATAGGTAGGAGTGTTGTTGTGTATATGATTTCAGGTTTGGCAAGTGAAAAAACAGGTTAGTTAGGAATGCATATTATGAAAGATTCTTGTTAATGAACTTTTTTACTGACTTAATGTTTAATTAGTGAATGATTCTTTTTTATTTTATGGACGAATTAGTAAATTAAAACTTATATTGTAAGTTTCATTTTATAATTTAACCATATTTTACATATTTTAAAATTAAATGTCCTAAAATTTATATTAATTATGAGCAGTGACTGGGATCTCGATCAAATTGCCTACATCACGTTTCAGAAAAGTAATTATAACAATAACCATGTATACGTGTATTTATTTGAAAATTTGAGATCATAACATTCCTTCTTTATAATAGAGATTGCAGCGAGAAAAGCTTTAATGCGAAGAAATCTTATCGTCGAATCTGCTGAAGAAGCAGTTTATATTGAGATTTTTCCAGCGTTAAAATATCTTGAGAATTCCTTAAAAGAGCTTATATTACGGTATATGGATTTTTCAAAAGTTTCACCATATAATATAGAAAATATTTCCAAATGCCAGAATTTAGTTAGAATTAGTTTTTATAGATGTCAAAAAATGACATTAACACATTGCACTTCATTATCTAAGAATAATTTGTATTTAAAAAAATTAGAAATTATAGATTCAAGCTTCGATCAAATTGTTATAACCACGTTAATTTCCATGTGGGGATCAACTTTGGAAATTTTACACCTGGATAAATTAAGACAAGGAACTTCAAATGCATTATTAATTCATTGCTCAAATCTTAAAGAGTTAGCTATTTTTAATTTAAATGCATACTCGCTCAAATCCATTTATCCTTTCCTTCAGCAATCTGCTCTTAAATCTTTCATTATTAATATGCATGACATACATTACCGAGAATATTATTATTTAGTTCCAAATTTACCATCAACATTGACTTTTTTGGGATTATATACTTATTTTAATAGACGGAAATTAAAAAAATTTGTAAAATATTGTGAAGAATTTGTCGAATTGAAAGCATTAAATATTAGGCGTCTTAGATTTGTAGCTAAAAATTTTGGTAGCTCATAGATATTTGAAAATTATAATACTGTATATTTTCATTATTATACAACATTAAATAGCTTGAATATTAAGTCTTACAACTATTTTATTTAAAAAAAAATATAAATATTACAAATTTTTTATATATATCAACTTTTAGTAGCAGCGTAATCGATTTTATTTATAGT